CAAAACAAATTTTCAATTTTACTTAGGTGGAGGTATTCTGTATACGAAGGAATAGTTAAATCTTCAAAGATTTTAACATGAAAATGACAGAGTAGAAATTTAATGTTTGATATATCATTCAATCGATTTATGTTAAAATCATAGATTCTTTCAGATTTTCAAAAAACTTTTCAGTAAAGATACACCTAAAAATATTTTCTATTTAGGATTCCTCATCTAAATTCAGAAGTTCTATTATTTACTAAAATTTACTGAAGCCTGCTTAATCTGATAATCTAAGCGTAATTAAGAGGTTATATACTGATAAAATGAATTTAGTTTTTGGAAAAATATATGAAATTAAGCAAGGAGTTTTAAGAGTAGAATCTTCCTATTGGCATAATAGCTTTAGTATTTAAATTTGTAAATTTAGATATTTAGCCAAAATGAATTGTATCAAGTCCTATATTAAATTAAAACTTTATGGAATGTTAGATATGTAGGGATATTATTTAATTGCAATAATCAATATAATATTCTATATAGGCTGGAATAATGTCTACCTTAAATAATCAAATGGTAGATATTAAGCATTTTCTTGACTATAATAGTTTATGAAGTTTCAAAATCCTGCAATATACCAATTATGATCTAAAATTATTAAGAATGTTGTACTTTACATATCTGGAAGCTTAGGAAGATCAAATTTATAAAATTGCACAAAAAATTTTCATTTACATTTTTATATGTAATAAATTTTAATTATATCTGTTTTTAGCTGCTCATATTTATTATCATGAATGCAAGTTTAATAAAATTGCAAATAGGAATTATTTAGTTTAAATATATATATATAATTATATTTGATATAATATCTTGTATAAAATAAAGTTAAGATGTTTAAGAGACAATTTGTAAGTGTCATAATTTAGAATTGATTGCTGTTGATTTAGACATGTCAGATAAATCATAAAAAAATTTTTTTTGTGGTAAATGTTTAGTAGATAAATTAAATAATAATACATGTTTCCAATCTAAAAGGAAAAAAAAGAATTATAAGAAAGTTTAAATTAATTGAATTATTTTGAAGATATCATATAATTATCAGAAGTATAGATGAATTAATAAGATAATTTGAATTATTATTTAATAATGCTGAATATTATTAAACTTTAGACATATTCAAAAATACAAAATAAACAATTTAAGATATAATGGAAAATAATATTATTGAATTGCCATCATTATTATAAACAAAAAAATGAATTTGTAAATAATTATATATATAAATTAAAATAGAAAACACCAAGTTTAAGTAGAATTTGTTTTAATCATAAAAAAGAAATAATAATGATTGATATGGATACTGAAAATAAGAAAATTGAAGATAGATTAGTTTTTGTTGATTGTATATTTGAGAATCCATGAATTAAATATAAAACAATTGAAAATGTAAATAAATTATGGATTGATTATAATTCATAATCTGAAAATATATTATAAGAATATAAAAAGGAAATTAAGCATAAAATAATGGATTATTTAATTAAATATCTTAAATGAGAAAAAATTATAATTTAAAATTGAATGAAATTAGTGATAAATTAATTTAAGAATAATTTTAATCAATTTCAAAACCTAAAAAATCTAATTAAATTAAAACTATTTCAATATAAACTTTATAAGATGAATAATTATTAAAGGATTTAAAATAATTAATAGAAAAAGTAAAAGTCAATTCAAATTAAACTATAACAACTCTAAAAAATAAAGATTCAATTTTTTAAAAAGAAATTGAAAATTATTTAGAATCATTAAAATAATGTGACTAATTAGATATTTAATAATCAATAGATATACTTAAAGAATTACCAAGTATTAATTTATATATATATATATTTTTATATTTGTAAGAAATGTAATTGTATAATTATAAGAAGTAATCTCTTAAATATCTAAGATTCCATCTACAAATGATAATAATTATTAAGATTAAGTAGAATTTATTAAGAATATTTAAGAATTCATTGATTAAGCTAAAAAATATTAATGTTAAATAAATTTATTTGATTAGACTTTAACATTATTTAAATAACATACTAATAATATAGATTAAATATAATCAAAATTTTAAAATAAGAATAAATACAAAATTAATATTAGAATCTATCAAAATTATTAAATGATTATATTAAAACA